ACAAAATGCAAGTTAGTCATATTTATAGCATGCATCTATACAGCACAAATCTAAACAATAACAATACACTGTCCCAAGAATGACGACCTAGAGAAGATATAAACGCAGATCAATGCAACCAAAACGATAAGAAATGCGCTGTATATCTGTACAATAAAGGCTTCATCGAGCAAATAACATCTGTGAGCTTTGAAAATGACGGCAATTGATTTGAAATGATTAATGATTAAGCGTTAATGCACAAAACGACTACAGCCTAGAAAACTACGACAAGAACAAGCACAGGAGAAGATTCCTGATAAAACATCATATCGCACTGGGATTCTCTTTGTATCTTATTTACAGAAAAACAGAGAAAATGAATAATTTGAAATTTAATATCACACGTATTTGAGATTCATAAGAACATGAAAAAATGCATCAGGTAAAAACAACCTGACTATAAATGATTATTGTGCCTAACTATATATATGCGAAACTGAAGCAATTAAGGCCGTAGATTATGTGAAGACTGTCCGTATCAGCCGAAAAAGTAGTACCGGTTAGTGCTGTCAAAAGCGTCCTACCAATCTATTCATCTGTGAAAAAGCGTTGTCTGGTACAATGTCATGATAATCTGGTGGGCGAAACATTTGTCCAACCGACCATTTGAGGATTTCACCGCCTTTAGCGGTGATAGGAGCAGTCTAGAATGAGATAATTTCAACCTGGAAGTTCCACAGTAAAAGTTGCAGGTCAACCTACCTCATGGTAAGAAATAAGATCAAAGAGCTGATCGTGTACAACTTGATTTGTGCCAAGAAACTGGTATCCCTCAGGTATGCGTTCGACAAGAAAATGTTTGAACGTACCATCACCTACCACGTACGATACAGTATACCTACAAAATAGCCAATTTCAGCGAAAAATTCAACGAGAATATCTACGGAATCAGCTCACCCCCATATTCTCTCTGAAACGCGGACAAGAAACGAGCCGGTCGGTTTATCTTGGAGCAGAATCTCCGCTTGATCTCGGGAAATGATCCCTAAAATACATCCTCTTCATAAATTGAACAAGGGTAAAATCTGGATCTCAAGAAAAGCCTATGATTGACACTATAAAAGTGGATAAAGAAACAAAGGAAAAACATTAGCCCTACCGTGAAACCAAGGTGCTGGCAATCTTGTTTTGGGATCTTGACCGGTACCTCTTGGCCACTCATCCCTCTTGAACCAATCCACAATCGCTGCGCGCGATTTCGGTTTAGGTGGTCTGGGCAGGTTTTTGCTGAAAGGGGCAAACGATACTTGAAACAAAGGTAAAATCTAATGTTTCTGAAAAACCAAAACATACATTGCCTCTCTTAGAGATGTAGCTTTCGTGTCTTTTAGTGCCGGCAAGATGCTCGTCGACGTTCTTATTAATTGTCGGTGCTGCTCGCGCGCTTTCTGAGCCATTTTACGCATCGCCTCTTCTGCTTCACGAGCACGTTGATCTTAAGTAAGCGATAGTGATTCTACGTGAACTGGATCAGAATCATATTTAACGTAGATAATTGATTATGCAGAAAAAATCTAATATATAAAGGATCACAAGCGCAGTTCAAAAATCT